CATCCATTCACGTAGACAGCATTATGCTATTATAAACCATAAAGTATAAACATCTGAAAGCTTTAAAGAGAACATGCACACACGGACACATGATCCACCATTATTTTGGGTAAGAAACAATACCAAGAGTAGAAATAAGGCAGATAAGTCATCCATCCAGCTAACCAAAATGGTTATTAAAAAAAAAATTCAAAATTGACTGCAATTTGAATGCGGGCAATTGCAAATAAAGTACTCCAAAGAACAACGAGGAGAATCTCTAGAAACAAAAACTAAGAAAACTCTCAATCTTCCCCCACAAAAACCAGACTATACCTTTCTGACCATGTCTCTGAAGTTAGTCATATTTTATAACCAAAAGTAAAGTTAGACACATCAAGCATGCACAAATACCTGTCCTTTCTTGGTAGTAAGTTGCCGGAGTATTGTCTCAGGTTTTGTGTTTCCTGCAATCGGCTCGCCACTGAATGTAACCACCAGTCAGAAAACCATGAAATCCAGATTTTCAAAAGATGTAAGTCCATGCCTCTATTAAATACGTGTGCAAGGTTGTGCTGGTGCAGTATGCTATCCATCATGGTAGTTTTGTTAGCATACAAATTTAGATTATGCAAGAGACATATTCTTACGTCTTTTTGTCCAGGAATCGGATGGAAATGTTATTTACTTCAGCTTCAGAAACTTGTAAACTAAGTATGCCCCCAGATAGAATATCTACAGCTGATACCTGTGTTATATAGTTAAAGTATCAATATATGTGAACAATAACGATCACAAAAATAAAGTCTGCAATGTGTTAATCCCTACAAAGCAAAAGAAATTTAAGTTTCTACGTAAACAATAACATTATATTGTACAAGAACATAGCTAAAGAACTAACCCTGCCAAAAAGGCCTCGTTCACCATACCAGCTATTGATGGATGATATTACTTCATGAAAATGCCTGAGATTAATAACTTTTCCTGCACAGCTTGACACCGAAGAATCCAAAATAATGGTCTTCTGTAAGCATATTTCACATTGGTTCATCTATTGTGACAATCTACAATTATGTAAGAAATCCTACCATAGCCATCACGAAAAGCTTCCTCCAGAAACTTTGCTGGAAGGACATTAGCACCTTCACATACCAACCCTTGGAACTCTTGATATGGTTCTACCTTGTGCCATTAGAAGATAACATTAATAAATATACTCTTTAAAAATGTAAGAAGGAACTTGTTCATAACTATGAATTTTCCCAGTGGAAAGTGTGCTAACCACTTAAATGCTCTCCCACTTTATAGCTTCATAAGACTAAGAGGGTTCTCGGCCATTTCTTATTTTTCGAGCTTGCATATGTATTATTGAATAAAACAAATTTGTTTTCACAAGTGAGTTAGACACAAGATCAAACATATAGAACAAATATCAACTCAGAGTTCGACCTAAAATCTTACATTATAAGTTATAACTCATAAGTTGTTCGAAATTCCAACCCAGTTGCCCTTTCACTTAACATAAACCATTACCATTCCATATCTTCCACCAGCATTAAGACTAATACTCTTAGTCTGTCGGACGTAAAATCCTACCCGATTAAAAAGTAAGGAAATTCAGGATATGATCATATTCCAGTCCTGCCGGATCCTTTCCTCTGATTATACTGTGATAAAAACACAAAGAAATTAAGCTGATTCGACAACTATACCTGAAATATTAATCTTATTCCATCTCTGGTATCAACTGCAACGGGTATGCACGAGTAGAAGTATCCACTATTGATAATCCTGTGCACGTCTTCTTGAACCTCACGCAAAGTAAGCGCAGAGTTGGGTCGGCTAGCCTTCAAGGCCGTCAAAACCTCCATCTCGAGGTCCTTCCTCTCCAGCTCCTCACCATCCTTATTTCTTACGAGAACCTCACTGATTAGAATCCTCTCCTCATCCTGTCGACCAGCTGAATACCCCTTTTGAGGTGATTCCTTACTCTCCGAACCACCAGACTGAGTCGACTCGTCAGACCGAGTCAAGGCCAAAGAAGCTGAACAAAGAAGAGATGATCTTCCAACCAAACCCGTACTCTTGTCTGAATCCTCCGCACGAGTCTCTGACTCGGCATTTTTCGACGCGTCGGATTGAATTAGCGACAATGACGCCGAACAAATTAGAGGAGATTTATCTAAAAACATTGGCCCCCAACTCCCATTCGCGCGTCGACTAACCGAATTCCCTTGCTGGGTTATCTTCTTCGAACCACAAAAGGGGAGCTGCGGTAGGCAGAAAGGGAGACTACTGTGGTTGAAATGGGTCAATTTTGACCCTCTCTTAACTGAATCAATGAACTGGAATATTGAGTGACACGATTGATCGAACTGCGAAGCTATATTTCGGAAGCAGAATCTGAAACTAGAATGTGAGTTAGACAGAGGAAAGTGCGGAACTTTAAGCGTGGCACGCGAAGTAAAGATAACGTCATCGTTCGGTGGCATCTTGATGGAGTGATCGGATAAACGGAAAATGGGGTTCGGATTTTTCAAAATGGAAGCCCGGTGCTTGGACGTCGAAAGAAATCTACTGAATTTGAGGAGTTAAATATAGGGTTTTGGAAGAAGAGGGAAAGAGAAGCATAAACCCCACGAGGAAATCCGCGGGACGATTGAACTCATTGAGTCGAGTGGCTCCTCCATGAACGACTTTCGGTTATTACTTTCGGGTCGGTTCACTGAAACGAACTTTTTACCCGACTCGTGCACCCGACAATATTTTTGGGCCACGATGGGTAAGTGCCCAATGGGCCTTTTGGTAGAAGCCTCTTCGATCATAACGTAGTTGAAGTTTTTTTAAAACTGTATTTCTCAATGCTTTCGATTTGATTCAAGAAATGGGAACACAGTGGCTCATGAGGCGGCAAAGATTTCGGTGGAAGAAGCGATTTCAGGAGTTTGGTTGGAAGAAGCTGCTGCTGCGCTGAACCACGTTCTCCATGGGGATTTAGGCAAGCTTGATTCCGAGTTGCATTTAATTTGGTTTATTGTTTTTATCTGTCAAAAAATAAAAATAATAAATAAATAAATTGTTAGTATTGTTTCAAGAAAAAGAAAAATGGTTAGTATTGTTCGACTCCCAATTTTATATCTAACGTATCAATAATTTGAAAGGTATAAAATTGAACTTTTAGATTTTTTTTTTATTACAATCGAATATGAGATGAGAAGATTTTCACTTCTACATGTTAGACGAAAGTTTAACTATTTATTTGACAAAACAAAATTTTTACATGTGTATTAAATGGTCAAAATTATAATTTAGGCTTGGTGGTCATTTTGTTTTTTTATTTTATGTTACCAAAAATTAAGTTTGTAAATATTATTTTCATTCATGTATTTTTTATTTTTATATCCACCTTTTAAAACATAATAAATAAATTGTAAGTAAATAAACAAAATAAAAATAGTACTTGCGGGAGTGAGAATTTAAACATGCAACCTTAGATATACATACATCATCCAATAACATTGATTCAATGAAAAATTAAAAAAAAATGAATAGTTATTTATTTTCTTTTTAAATTCAAAGTAAGAATTCGAACCCAACCATTTTTAATAGAAGGTATGGGTAGTTATACTCGAATTCACGAGTAATAGTTGGGAAAAAAAAGTTAAAAAGCATATAAAAAATAACCATCAAAGAATTTGTTCTATTGTTTCTTTAGTCCATGAAAAAGTCGTAATAAATTGGACCAGTAGAACTTTATTCTCTTTCGTAAATGGGGTATCCAACAACAACCATGCTCCATGCCCCATGCCCCATGCCCCACGGCAAGCAAAGCGTTTGGATCTGTTAAGACAGCATATTTATTAGATGAGTTAATTAAGTGCTTTAGTGTAACGGTGATATTTAGAGATTGTGCTCCGTTTTAGATTCACCAACTTTAACCGAATTTTAGATCTGATTTTAATTTTTAGATTATAATTTTATATTAATATTTACGAAATTTTATTTCAAAATCCATTAACAATGAGAAAAGTAGTCCATTAATATTTTTAACCATATTATTTTATTGTATTTTGATCGATGGTTTGTAAATACCATTAAAATCAATTTATTTGTGATGATTCTTTCCTGTAAATCTGAGGGAGGTGGAACTCTACTATGAACCTAAATGCTTTAATAATTTTGATATATAGCTATGAAAAGTAAAAAGACGTTGAGAGCAAATATATAAGTTATGCATCAGCAAATGTGTCTTTTGGACTTGAACCTTAGTAAGAACTAGTTATGGAACTATCATTCTCATGATAAATTGAGACAACAAATATCACACATAATTTATCTTGTATCTTTTAATATTAAATTTGTAGTTATTTATTTAAATGAGAAAGTTGTTTCTTTATTTTGTTAATTTGTAACTTTATACATGTTAAAGTTACCTATGTAACATTGTTGGGTAGATACACGTTGTTTATGTAAACTAATAACACTAGCAACAATTTACAACGTAATTGGCTACAAACAATTATAGATCTTAACAGCTTGATGAATACAAAAAACTTTACGAAATATAGTCGAGACACGCTACAGTAGCGCTGATCTAAAGACAATTATTCCCTCTACACAAGTTGCTAGCAGACTACAGCAATCGTATCAGTATGATACAACGACTAACTCCGATAGAACTACAACCTCGAACTACTCGGATTTGACAGAACTTTTAAACACTTGCTCTCAACACAAACAAGAACAACAACTCAAAAGAAGAGATAACTATTGTGAGAGAAGGAGAATACCCTGTAGTATGTTTGGATATCTCAAAATGTAGTAAAACAACAATTTTATATAGTCGTCCAAAACAAGTAATATCTCACAAGTTTTTAAGATAGATAAAGTTACAAATATGTAACTGTGTAACTTTATAACTTCAACTTTAGTAAAATGAAGAAACATAACAAATAAATAAATAAATAAATAATTGATAAACAAAATGAAACAAAATTCACGACCTATACGTGAATTAAAACTTACAAATTTGATTTCCGAATATTAAATTTGTATATATATTAAATTGTTTATCAATATTTCAAATTCCACTTTCTTTCCCACTTTGAAAAATCAAACAGAAAAAAAAAATACTAAATGGTACATTTACATATTTAAAAAAAATTATATCATATATTTTTTTAGTACACCATGTAAGGATGAGAGATCGAACTTACCACCAAAGTTAAAGATATATGCCAATTACCATTATACTCGCTTTGACAAATTCATATAATATATTAATATGTCAAACTTTCTATAAAATAAAATAAAAAAAAGTTGCAAAGTAGCCACTTACCTTACATTGCATAAATGTTATTCATAGCTGCCACGTCGAAACTTGTAAAATATGATTTGTGATTTTTTTAGTACAATATATGAGGTGGAAGATCGAACTCACACAATTCTTGATTGGATATATATGTCAATTATCACTGGTTACGCTCTATGATTTATGATTTGTGATTTAATAAAGTAAATCTATAAACTTCATTTTTATAATCATATTAAATAATCCAGCCCTCGTGGATGTTATCATTTGCCTTGGAAACTCCTGAGCTTTGATAAAAAAAAAATGCACTATAAAAAAGAATGATGCCATCTTCGTTTCTGCATAAGTTTTTCCTTTAAATGTCGTCGTTTCTAATGCATGTCCCCATCTCAGCACACAATTTTTATACTCAGTTTATATATTAAAAAAACAAAAGAGAGAGAAAAAGAATTCAAAACGAACTTCGCAGAGTTTGTTAATGTTATATAACTAACTTCGCGGAGTCGTTTTTCTCCTCTCTCAATTGCTAAATAAACTCCCTCTCTTCTCTAATCATCAATATTCCCGATGTCAATGGAGTAGCATTCTTTCTTTTTTTTCTTCTCAATCGAAGTCAAGAAATCGTCGCTCCACTGTGAATCTTTGACGAGTAAGGTCTCTAATTTGTAAATTCTGGCGCATCAACTTCTGTTCTTATTGCTTCTTGTCTTCTTCTTGTTTTCTTTTAAATTGTATTTTGAGTTGATAGATTCGAGCTTCTGTGGCAGGTTAAGATGGATAGTGATCTTGATGAACTTAGGGCGCCTTTAAACCCAGTCCACCCCGATGATGTAAGCCCTCGACCTTTAGTAATCCTTCAGTTGTACTTGCTTCACTGAAATTCAACATGTCAAGCTACTGATCTCCAAAATCAACATAAATGCATTTATATATCTTGTAATTGCAACACCAGTTCTTTGTTATCCACCTTGTGGTTCTAAAATTAAAGCGTACTGTCGTAAATGTCACAGGGAAGTAGAACCTTGAGAATCATAGAAGCCGGAAATTTCGATGTTAATGGGTATCTGGAACAAGATATTGCAACATGCCGTCTAAGAATCAAAGGAATGACATGCACAAGCTGTGCAGAATCTATTGAAAACGCGCTTATGATGGTTGATGGAGTAAAAAGAGCAGTGGTTGGTATAACAATCGGAGAAGCAAAAGTACTTTTCGATTCAAGCTTGATTAATGAAGACCGAGTTCTTGAAGCAGTTGACGATGCTGGCTTTGATGTCGAGCTGATTAATTCTGCAGATGAAGGCAACAAAGTGCATGTAAAACTTGACGAAGTTAATTTTGAGGATATGATCACTATAAGAACATCTCTTGAGAACGCTGTTGGTGTGAATCTGGTGGAAATGGATTTTTCTCAACAAAAGGTAACCATTAGTTACGAGCCTGATCAAACCGGTCCAAGATTTCTTATCCAGTGCATTGAAGAGGCAGCCCAAGGCCTCAGGACTTATAATGCAAGCCTATATTTACCTCCAAGGAGAAGAGATATTGAGCAACTTGAAGAAATTCGTACTCACAGAAACCTATTCTTGTTGAGCTGCCTATTTTCAGTTCCAGTAGTTCTCTTGATGGTGCTTCCTATGCTTCCTCCTTATGGGGAGTGGCTGGATTACATGGTTTACAATATGCTGACCGTTGGAATGCTTCTAAAATGGATCTTATGCACACCAGTCCAGTTTATTGTTGGCTGGAGGTACTCTGTTTTTGCTGTTCATTACCTTCTTGGTATCTGCTACTAATCTCAATCAGAGCATCTAATTAGTTTCCTGAAGTTAAAAAAAAAAACGTTTCTAAATATTTTAATAACATTCTTGGATGATCTTATCAGGTTTTATGTAGGATCGTACTATGCATTACGGCAAAAATCTGCAAATATGGATGTTCTGGTTGCCCTAGGAACCAATGCCGCTTACTTTTACTCCGTGTATATAGTAATTAAAGCATTCGCTTCAAAATATTTTCAAGGGGAAGATTTTTTTGAAACCAGTGCCATGTTGATATCCTTCATTCTACTTGGAAAATATTTGGAGGTCATCGCTAAAGGGAAAACATCAGATGCTTTAGCAAAGCTTGCACGTCTTGCTCCTGATACATCTTGTCTGCTGACGTTGGATGATAATAACAATATTTTGGCAGAGGTGGAGATTGATACTCAAATGCTACAGAGGAATGATGTAATTAAGATCGTTCCTGGAGCCAAAGTTCCTGTTGATGGAATTGTTATTCATGGTCAAAGCCATGTTAATGAGAGTACGATCACAGGAGAATCAAGGCCCACTATAAAAAAACCTGGCGATAAGGTACTTTTTCTTGCCGTTACATATCTATAAAATTTGATTTGTGCCAAATAAGAGTTCAAGAAAAAAACAAAGGAAGAAGAGAGGCTGTTATGTCTGGAAATTTGGATAGTCCAGGTAACTGGTTGTGTGTATGACGTACTAATTGCGGAGATATGCGTGACTAAGATGATTTCTCAAGTAATTATATAATTCAGCATGTTGCTTTTATACGCTTTGTTAGAAATTGAATTAGCAATTTCTTGAACAATGAATTAAAGAAGTTTAGCATCATGTAATGCCTCGAACAGGTTGTTAGCGGAACTGTCAATGAAAATGGATGCTTATTTGTTAAGGCCACACATGTTGGGGCTGATACTACACTTTCCCAAATTGTTCAACTCGTGGAATCAGCTCAGCTATCACGAGCATCGGCTCAGAAATTAGCAGATCAAATATCAAAATTCTTTGTTCCTGCTGTGAGTCTAATGATTTTCTACTTGCCATTTCATCAAATAATTCCTTTTTTGAGGTTGACACTCAGATGTGTAATAAGAGCAAAGTACTTTCAATGTAAGTTTCTTTTTGGATGAGTTCATAGAAAATGTATAAGGTAGGTTTAAATCTTATTTTAGTTTTTTGAAGTTTTATTTATTCGTGGTCAATGAAATTAAAACATTTTGATTCTTTCCATTTCAAATTTATTCACAATATTAAAATAGGTAGTTTGAGAGTAGTTTAAAGGCCATAACAGAAAATTTTGAATAATTGGGACAAAAGTGAAATTTGAACCTCTGAAAGATGTACTATCAGGGAGTGTCAATTACCTGTTGATCGTGAATATTCTTTGTTAGTTAAAAGCCATTTTTTTATTGTCTACAGCTACAGTCCCATTCTCAGTGAGAATGTTTTTTAATGTACAGTTCTTATTTTCTTTTCTTTTCTTCATTTTTCTCCTTAGGTTGTCGTGGTAGCATTTCTAACATGGCTTGGATGGTTAATCTGCGGAGAAGCGGGTATATACCCTAAACACTGGATACCAAAAGGCATGGATGAATTTGAGCTTGCTCTGCAGTTTGGAATTTCAGTGCTGGTGATCGCATGCCCATGTGCCCTTGGCTTAGCAACGCCAACTGCAGTCATGGTTGCATCAGGGAAGGGTGCTTCTCTAGGTGTACTCATTAAGGGAGCAAGTGCACTTGAAAATGCATACAAGGTATACTCACTATTATCACAATAGAATGTCACTATGCAAAATAATTTAATGTTACTTGAAAACGAATGTGTCCATTTGGCTAATCTCTGATCAATTGGCCATTGGATCCTAATATGAGAGTAAACTTCCTTTTGACTATGGTGAATACTGAATCGGAGTTTCTTTTCCCCTCCAACCATCCAGGTGAAGACTGTAGTTTTTGACAAGACTGGAACTCTGACACTTGGCAGGCCCAAGGTCGTTAGTGTTGTGCTCTTTTCTAACTTTTCAATGGCGGAGCTCTGTCATGTGGCTATGGCAATAGAGGTGAGTGCAGTATTTTGGATTCCGTACCAAGGATTTATTGACTTTTCGAGAATTAGTCATGAAAAACACTCTAATGAAATGCTGGAAACGAAGTTAATTTATCTTCTGATGGTTGGTGGGGGAGGGAGAAGTTTGTCTTTGTAGCTTGTGGGAAGGGGACTTGAAAATGTCAAATTATTATACTGAATTACTCCATGTGATTTTGTCGCTGAAATTAGAAAAGGGCCTCTTTAACTAAAATCTGTAGCATAGATAGTAGTGAATTTTTTTTTATTAACCGCATGACATGGGATGAAAATTTTTTTTTTCAAGAATATATGCTTTAACCACCATGTTTAGTAGAAAGTTGAATGAATATAGTAATTTATTAGAAATGATAATATCTAGACTCGAGCATTGATATAGCATAGCTTTTTTGCTAGTCAATTTTATCATTTTAATCAGATCATGATAACTTCTTTAACCTACACTGAGATGATTATGAGACTATGGGAAGTAAGAAACTAATGTGTTTTTTTCAATTTAGTCGAACAGCAAACACCCTTTGGCAAATGCTGTGGTGCAGCACGCAAAGAAAGTGCAACAGAAGTATGGGTTCAGTGCTGAACGTCCCGGGCACGTTGAAAACTTCGCGGTTTTCCCCGGAACAGGGGTTGGTGGAAAAGTTGATAGCAAATTTTTAGCTTTAGTAGGGAACAGGAGACTTATGCGTGCCAACAACATTCGTATGGGCACGGAAGTTGATCGGTATATTGCAGACAACGAGCACAAGGCTCAAACATGTATCTTAGTGGCTATCAACGGAAGAGTAGCTGGAGGTTTTGGTGTTAATGATCCGCCGAAGCCTGGGGCTAAAGCTGTCATATCATATCTTCGCTCAAAAGGCATCTCAAGCATAATGGTCACTGGCGATAACAGGTTCACAGCAGCTGCGCTTGCAAGGGATCTGGGAATTGATGACGTCCTTTCTGAGGTAGATCCAATTGGAAAAGCTAACAAGATCAAAGCCTTGAAGGTAAAGCTCAATTATCTCCTGTAGGAAGTTTTGTGCTTGTGCTCATCAGTGATAATGTGCTTGAAAAAGATACTAATCTTTGTTAATATTTATGCCCAGCATGTGAAATATATTTACTCCGAAATGGGGAGTATAATACAAATGTAAAATTCAATTGAATGAATGAATGCAGATGACAGGTGATATTGTGGCAATGGTAGGAGATGGAGTAAATGATTCGCCTGCTCTGGCTGCATCTGATATTGGCATCGCAATTGGAGCTGGAACAGATATTGCTATAGAAGCAGCTGATATAGTTCTGATGCGAAGCAATATTGAAGATGTGGTTACTGCTATCGATCTCTCGAGACAAACCACTTATCGCATATGGTTTAACTACATATGGGCACTTGGTTATAACATCATTGTTGTGCCAATTGCTGCTGGAATCTTATATCCCTTCACCGGTACTAGGTTGCCACCTTGGCTTGCTGGTGCCTGCATGGCTGCTTCATCCGTTAGTGTCGTCTGTTCTTCTCTCTTATTGAAGTGCTTTAAGAGACCTTTGAATTTCCAATCCATTATTTGAGCATTTAATTACTTCTTCAAACCTCGAGTACGTAGCTAGTTCCCTGGCCTTTCCCTCATAAGCACATCACCGTTTTCACTTTTGGAAGTTCAAATTGGATGTATAAATAGAGGTAGCACTGTATGGTGATTTGGAGCAAACTTTCAACTACTATTGGACTTCTAGATTGTTTTGTGTATAAAATGTTGTAGGCTATTGATCCTTTGTCACATTTTCTCTTTCTTATTGTTTTAGTATGTAATGTTTTCACAAATAAGTCACTCAAATTTTAACTAGCTGATCTATTATATATAGTGTCGAAGTAATTAGTAATTAGGTTAAGACATTAATTATTTATTGTTGCTATTATTATTTTGTATAGATCCAATGTTTGAATATATATATATTTTTAATTTTGATTGCTATATTATAGAAAAATTAATAATTTAGTAAGCAAATGTTTGACCAATCTTAATTGCAACATTATGATGTGATACTAAAATAAGGATTTCTTGTTATTTTTTTCGTTGAGAAATTATAATAAATCAATCTCATCGATAGTAAATACAGCCTAGCAAAATTATGAGAATTAGAAAAGAAAATGAAATTAATTAGGATTATAACTTAAAAAGGTAAACTGGATATATACCCAATTAGTTTGATATGATATTGAATTTAGAGAGATTAATCAAACAAATTAATATAAAATATAAATAATCCAATAAGAGAAAATGTTAAACATGATCCTACCTTAATTAATTAAAGAATTTATCTTCAAAAAAAAAAATTTGAATTCGAATTCTTAATTCCACCTCAATTAATTAAAGAATTTATCTCTGATTAAAAAAATAAATAGTAAAAATGTTACACGACCTGGTTTAGATCGCGAGTTGGATACCTCATGTTTTATTAAAAAAATATAATAATAATAAAATAAATAATAAATAAAAAGAATCTCCCTTAGGGTCAAAACGGCGTTGGATACGTCGCGTGACCTGGATTTTACCTTCCTGGCAGCGCGGTACAACAGTCGTGTCAATCGGTCCTCATCGTTCTCTGTACCTTCAAATCTCAAGAACAAAAGCGGAAAATTTCCTAGAGCAATCTGATTGTAGGTCGTCGAGAGGTAGGTCGTGGAGAAGTTAATTTTCTTCTTCAGTATATGTTTTTCTAGATTTATTTGTTCATTAGCTTGGTCTAAGCTACAATTTTAAATTCTTCCAGCGATTCCGAATAGTTAACTTGGGTTGAAGGATCTTTTTACCGATATCCATTTCCAACGCAAAGGCTGTTTAGTTTATTATTCGGTATAGTTTAGTGGACTCTGTTATGGGGTTTTCCGAGATTCTTGGGATGCACTTTATTTGGGGGCTAAGAAAGTGGAGTACAATGGAGGAGTTCGGAAATTGGCTTTTCGTTTATGCTGGTTCAACGGCAATCGTTGATGCTAAATTTGTATCTATCACTTAGAACGATTTGATCAAGCTTAATGAATTAGCGTTCTTATTCATATTTGTGAATCGGATCTCAGTTTTCTCTTATCTGCAACAACAGAAATTGAGGGTTTCTTGGATTTAGAGACTGGAAAATGGATAGTTCAGGTATGGGAAGTGGATTTCTGTCGGCAGGTGGGGGTCTATTAGATCTGGAGTCTCCCATCCGAAGACATCAACAGACCCAATTGGTCAATCCCTCTTTGACACACCATCATCACTTGAACAGGATGAGTACTTTTGAAGGTGATCACCAATCGATTGGGATTGTGGACACGAAAAGTTTCGGACAGAAAGATTTATTGACGACCTTCGCAAAAGGGAAAGCTATTGCCACTGGTAATGCCACGAACAACAATAATACGAGTGAAGAAGATGAGCCTAGTTTCACAGAGGACGGTGAGTGCTCTGAATTTTTTAAGGGTAAAAAGGGCTCTCCATGGCAGAGAATGAAGTGGACAGATGACATTGTAAAGCTTCTCATAGCCGTGGTTGCTTGTGTGGGTGATGACGGTGAGGCTGGGATGGGCTCCAAGAGAAAATCTGGAATATTGCAAAAGAAGGGCAAATGGAAAACAGTGTCGAAGATTATGATAAGTAAGGGGCGTCATGTATCTCCACAGCAGTGTGAGGATAAGTTCAATGACTTGAACAAAAGATACAAGAGATTGAACGATATACTTGGGAGGGGAACCAGTTGTATGGTTGTGGAGAACCCTGCACTCATGGATTCAATGGCTCAGCTCTCAAATAAAGCCAAGGATGATGTCAGAAAAATATTAAGCTCAAAGCACTTGTTTTATAAGGAAATGTGTGCTTACCATAATGGACAAACAATTCCTGGTTGCCAGGACCTTGATTTCCAAGGTAAAATTTTACCTGTTGCGAATTTCTCCAAAGGTAATAATGAGTCAGAAGAGGCTGATGAAAGTGACGGTGAGGATGATGAGTCAGATAATGAAGATGATCACTGTCCTGTTGAAAATGGATTATGGGTGGCTGAGTCACGTGGTAGAAATAAACTGAGTGGAGATGATGGTCCTCTGTGGTCAAACTCAGTTGCACAAAATGAATTTGAAGGTCAAATTGATGTCTTTCTTTCAGATCCTACGAAGTCCCAATGGGAGCGCAGAGATTGGATTAAAAAACAGATGCTACATCTTCAGGAGCAATCTGTCAGCTTCCAGGCTCAAGCTGTCGAACTTGAGAAACAACGTTTCAAATGGTTAAGATATTGCAGTAAGAAGAGTAGGGATTTGGAGAGAGCGAGGCTTGAAAATGAGAGGTTGAAACTAGATAATGAGCGGAGAGTACTGCAACTGAAGCAGAAGGAAACGGAATTGGAATTCAAAAGGTCTGATTCATCCTTGGGTCCAACCCTTGGCATTGATAGAATTCAGGGAAGAGAGCATATTGATTTGGGTAGACATTGAAAGCACACAAAAAGGTCATTCATGTTTTGGACCTGTTGTGATGCACGAGATTTTGCTGATCATTGTGGAACAAAACCTTTAAGCCAAATGCATGTTAGCATGCTAAACCTTGTAAGCATGTCACTACTTTTATGTTATTTTAGGCTCTCCCTTTTCTTCTTTTTGGCCTTTGGAACTTTCTGCTGTAAAGCTCAATGATTAATGTCAAGTGGTTCAGCTTCCAACAAAGTTTTCGTTCGAAGTGCATCCATAGCTTTCTCAAGGATATAAATTTGTGTGGTTATATGGATTTACGTTAACATGCCAGTCTGGTTGAACTACTTAGTCTGAACTGAAAGACAATATCGAAGCCCTTACTCCATTTGTTGGATCATCTCAGATTCTCAATTTTGGAGGTAATCTAAAGATAAAACTTAGTCCATATTTGCTATTTAGTTGACCTTCTGAGTTTTAGTTCTCCACTTTTTTGCGTTTGAGATTGGAGAAAATGAATATTTGTTGCATCTCTATCTTGATTATCCAATATTATACTTTACTTGATAAAGCAAATGTCTCGAGAACATTATGTCCCTTTTACTGTGCATGCTGCAAAACAGCATCAATTCATTCCGTCAACGTTTTGAGATGGTCAATTAAATCCCCCAACTTGGATTATAGTATACAAGATGTTGATTGTATTCGTACGTGATGAGCTATATGAGGGCTGCCTGCTTGGTTGCTGCTTATTCTTTTTCTTCACTATTGTTTCCCTCCCTTGTTGTTTGGGTTCACCGTCTTTTGAATTTGAACCCATCTCTCTTTTGCTGGACACGTCTTGTTCTACATTAAATTAATGGTACATTGGTACTTGTCTTTCCTTTTTGTTTCTCCCTTGTGTGGAGTGTCCTTGGAATTGCTTAGAAGTATGGTTTCTGCTTTGTTCTTTTTTATTTTTGGTCAAATCACTTGATTGAAGCTAACTCATAGAATCATTCTCATGAATTTGCAGTCTCCGACTTTTTAAGCAACTGAATATCCAACTTCGTTTGTGAGTTCCCATGCTTGAAGTCTTATATTCGATGCATATATTCACCAAGTTCTTATTGACTAATTTGCTCGATCTCTATATAATGTATATGATGATATTACAATTTAGAATTGAGACATTGTTTTGCCCTTGACTGAGATTTGGGTTTGGAAACATAACGTCAAGCTTGAGAATAAGAAAACAAAAAAATGGAAGGACAGAAAATTGAAACCATCATGTTATTACAAGCTGCTGCACTACTCATACTTGAAATTCACCCCTACCAAGGAGTAACTATTGAATATTGAATGAGAAGCATTGCTATGAAACATTTTCCTTATACTACTGTAGAGAGTTGGCTAGGCTATAATGGGTTAACGTGGTGTTTATTGTTGGAACTTTTGCAGACAGGTGACTAGAATACAGAATATGATGAATTGTTTCTTTCCTTGCACGCCATGTTTTTAGTTCCATGCTTTGCTCATTCTACTAACTCACTCATGTTTTGTTACTTTTTTTTATTTCTTTTTTCATTTTGTGGGCAGATCGCAGACCACTAAAGCTATCAACGAGAGAGAGAGAGGGAGACTTCCATTGGAAAGTGATTGGACGACAAAATCATGGCGATGGATGAACTCCCCTTTCTAGCAATTCTCTTCTCGGATGCTCAGCTCATTCGCTTTATTGTAAAAGAAAAGCTCTCAAATTATGAGCTCTCGAGTCTCAAATATGAACCATACTCAGAAACACAGTTGAGCTGAAGTTATTTGGAAATTTCTTCAATTTTGAGGTGAATTTAGAGGGATCCATTTAATTTCTTTGCTGATTTTTATACGAAAGTTGCAAACTTTGACAGACCATCCTCCGTTCATACGTTCACACTGACTTTCATTGCAGATTTGGAGTGGTTTTGGTTGTTAAAACAACTAAATTCCTTGGGAAATTCATTTACCTTCTGGTTTTATAGTAGTTTTTTAAATTAAAAAAATTACTTTTTTTATCTGTAATTTATTTATTTCTCAAATTCACAAAAATATTTTTGATTTATGAGTGAGGTTCTTAAAGACTATTTTCTCTCAAATTTTAGGATTTGCCCATGATTTTAAAAGAATATTACAGACTGAAACATGAGAAGAAATAGGTTAATTCTTCAAAATAAACATAGAATTATTACCCAGATCTAAATCTTAATTTTATGATAATTTATAGAACCTGTTGTTGTTGTTTTTTTTTTGGTAAAAAAATTATATATTCTGAGAGTAATAATTGAACAGAGGTAGTGGCCTTTTTGTAGAAATTTTAAAAAGTGATAGAAGTGTTTATAATTCTAACTAAAAGCATTTTGAAATTCTAAAAATCACTTGAAGTCTTACTAGATATTAATTTAGTTTCCTTTTAAACATGTTTACATAAAAATGCTTGACCCAAAAAAAAAAAATTCCAAACTCACCTTTCAAACTATAACTTTTGGCTACTAACATTAATTTTTTTTTTTTTTTTACATTTGGGGTGTGACATCGAACTCACAAGTTCTTACTTGGAGATACACACTAATTATGATTGAGTTAATTATAAACACAAAGCGAGGATACAAATTTATAATCTTTCAAGCTATTCAGGTAGGCAATAGCTCGCTTTTGGTGAACTAAGTTGGAATGAGAAATTATATTTAAAAATATGAAATGTGAAAAAAAGGAAAAAAAAAATGTGCATTTGCAGTTGATCCAAAGTACCAACTCCAACATTGGGTTTAGAGCCACGTCATCGCACATGCTTCGATTAAAGGTTTGATGAAAGAGAGCGTGTCAGAGAGAGAGAGAGAGAGCGTTTTCTGTTATAAGAAGCTCAACTTATTCCTCATCGCTTCCCATTTTTCATATTTCGCTCACAGATTACACACACGCAGAACCAGAAGCCGAAAGAGGAAGCTACAACTGCGCATCCTCTTCAATGGCGGTTTCCTTTCTTTCGGTAATCTCTCACACTTTTAATGCAGTCAATAATGATTTCTTTCAACTCTTTTCTTAATTGCGTTTGATTACTCATCTGCTCACTCCGTCTGTGTGATCTCTGCGTTGCGACTTGCGAGTGGTAGTAGAGAGGAAAGAGGTTTGAATCAGAACACTAGGTACTACAATGGAATAGTCAATTTTTCTACCGTTTATTGCCCCAGCTTAAATTGATGGATGAAATGAGGTATAGAAAAGGATTTTTTAGTTTCATGTGAGAGAATCAGCTGGAGTACCTAGGTTCAATCTGTTCAATCGAATGTAGATTGATCTGCATTCTTGTTTCTGCGGATCTCTGCTTGGCGGCGAGGAGTTGTAGCACGTTCGATTTTCTCTTTTGCTCCCGGAGCTTTCTAGCTGCTGAACGGAATGGTGCTATGTATCAAATGCCGACTTTACACTGCAATATGATTCTGGAAGATACGACTATTTTTCTGTACTATGGAGATATTCCTGTATTTTTTTCAAAGAAATCCACCAAATTTCTGCGTGCTGTGTTTATTTCTATTGAACCAAATGTATTGATACTCGAATATCGTAGAGGCTAGCCATGCATTACTTTTTTCGCTTGTGGTCAAGAACTACCATCTCAATTTCTTTTTATTTCTTGCCGTCTTCATTTTATTTCTAATTTTCATATTTGCAGGAGTGGCTCTAGGACAGGAACTTTACTGGCGTTAGACATAAATTGTCTGCTTGAAGTTTTGTCAAGAATGGGTTTGCAGAATTTTCAGGACAGTTAGGTTTGAATCTAAATTTCCTTTTGATCTCTCTCCTTTGCAATTGTACTTACTTTTTACACCCATTGAAACAGAGTTAATTAAAATGAGCTGGAACACGAGCATGGAGGTTAATTGCATGAATAATAGTTACCCTTACAGCACAGCTGGAAGCTTTATGGAATACTTTGAAGGTCTTACATATGAACACGTGAATTTCATTTTTTCCGGTGCCTCACATTCTCAGGTACTGTACATCTCTTTCCTTTCGATGCCTTCCTTGGATCTCGTCTGTGACTAGGTTGATAGAACTCATGGCATTTAGATGCTGTTTTGTCTCTGTACCTGCTACTCAAAGGAAGTTATTTGGCGTTACTTGTTGCCATGAGATCTCTACTGTTTCTTTGCTCTGTTGGTTGTTATCTTGGATAATCTCCCTATCTCTTTCAAAGTTGCTTCCCTCCTCTTAAGACTCCTTGAAAATTGAATCTCCCCCTACCCAAGTATAGAAAAAGGAAAGCAAACCACATTTCATCTTCAAAGTAGTTACTGCTTGGAAGCTTATGGTTTCATGTTCTATTTCACTCCTGGGATATAGCCCTTTATCATGCTTAAACTTCCTGATGCATGCTTGATTGGACATCTATTATCGAGATCGAATAGTATTTATGTCTAGTTTTCATACTTCCTCATGCATTAAATGAATTTCGCAACATGGGAGTATAATATTTTCGTTCTTCCATTCAGGAGACTGTTTATCCATCCACTAATTCAAGTTACTATAAGTTTGGGCATTCTGATTCTTGGAGCAGTTCATACTTTGATGCTCAATCATCTGAGGTACTAGGTCATGAGTCCACTGTTGATGAACATAGGAGGCCGCAGGACTTCTCGACATTACCGAATGAACAGAGTTCAGGAAATAGAGCGTGGGAAGAAAATGCCAATCCCAATATGTCCAGCAACACCAACACCATGGAATGTAAGGATTGAGTTCTGTGTCATTTCAACTTTCCATGAAACAGAATTTAGATATTAAGTGCTAATGTTCTATAAAACCACATGTTGTGAAGAGTATAATTAATGACTCTCTGTTTTGATTTTTAGTCTCTTATTTTTTCTCTGTTCCTGAATTGAGGTATTTGTTGAGAAAAAGCAGTTGGTGTCATCAATTTTCAGGCATTGGCAACCTTCATCTTCATGATCGCTATTGAGGGCATTCTTTTTGCTAATATAGTGCATTTTTGGCATATTTGAAAACTATAATGGTTATATTGGTCTATGGTTTTCTTATGACACAGATATCAAATGAAAGTTAAATGTTGCCGAAAAATTGGCTTTAGGCATGTTAGTTATTTACTGGGATGACTTATTCGATGCAACAAATTGAATGTAGGGTGCTTCAACGAGTATCTTGTAAATGAGATACATTCACCATCCATTGATATACATGTTCTACCATATTTCAATGTTAACTTGCAACCACTGGGTGAACCACTTTATATTTAGCAAGTACTATCCGGAGTAGAATTAACTTGCTGCTAGGTAGAGTGTTAAAGGTATATATGAAATCTAACAACCAAAATTTTTCCTCTTGGCTTCCTTCTGATCCAATTAAAATGTTACTGAAAATTTTTTTCTAGTTCCCAACTTTAACTATTCTCCATTGCTTTTTCAGGCCCACGTAGGCATCCAAATTATCAAGAGTATCAGGTCTGCAGCTTTTTTATTCTTAAATTTTTTGTGCCATTAAGTCTACAGTTGCAGTTTTATTGTAAGGTTGTTGACAATAGATACCTCACTTTTTGGCTTAGCATCCCTGTATTTATTTGGGTATGTTATAAAACTGGCACATATAAACTGAAGTAGAGAGAGAATACAGAATAGGAATTCATTTTCTAACCAATGTTGACAACTTGACAGCCTAGGTGGTGGTTCAGGTTTCCCTAATAATCTTTGTCCCAAGAGTTTTTGTTCAAGGCCATATAGACCTGGAATTTACTTCCAAACTTCTTCAGAAAAGATTTTATTGAATGCGCTCCCTAATCAGTTCCACTTTGAAATATGCAGACTATTTGGCAAGATATTGTTGATCCAGATAACATGACTTATGAGGTTAGAGCTGATAATAATTTTCTTTCCCTCTTAATTTTGCAAATTGCCGCACAAAATTTTCCTCTCCTGTAAATTTACATGTTCTTATCGAAGTTAAGTTTTCTTACTCAATGCCTAAGTGTTGAATTTTGTAATTGAATTGTTATTACGGTTACTATTGTTGAAATACAACACTAACTATCTAGAAGCTTCTTGGAAGTTTCTACACATTTCTCTTATAGGTAATAGTTAGTCTTTCTAGATTGTTCTTGAAGATTGTAAATAAATATCTAAAGAAAAGGATCTAGAAATATCTTAGACTTTCTCTTAGGTTCCAAAGGATTCTAGAGAAATCTTTTGGATTAGAATGGATAAGGAAAAATCTAGAATATGTAAAATTTGAGAGGAGTCTAGAAAGTTCTTTTTGCTTGGGCTCCAAGGATCTTTCTCCTATAAATAGGAGAGATGTCCATGTGAATCAAGTGAATAGAGTGATGAGAGTGAACCAAGTGAAGTGAGTGAAGAAAGAGAGAAAAGTTAGAAAGTGAGAGAGTCTTCCATCAAAGAGTGTCCATATTCATACTTTCTAAATAAAAATTTCTTTCTTCAAGTGATTGTTTATTTCCTTTTGTGCTAATTCATTCAACAAGTGGTATCAGAGTTGCGCTAATTAATTCAACAAGTATGAAGTCCTTGCTGCTGTAAAAGCCAATGGCAAAACTAGTTGCCATTGCAGCTACTAAGCTGAAATTGGCAGTAGGCTTGGTTTTTGATGCTTTCCTTACCAACGTAGAAACGCAAGAAATGCTGGTTCAGATTAATCTAGTTGTTTGTTCTGCATTGTGGTTGCTGGTACACTTCCAGCTAGTTTCTAACCTTGAGCCTTGCTTCTTCGGAGGATCTTTTAAAAACATAAACTTGCTTATTTGGATGGATCTGCCTGCTGATAGTGCTTTTAAGTACCTGACATTTATTAGTTATGAGGATAAGGAACTC